GGGGGGGGGGTGTTACCTTGGTTGCTGATTGGCTAATGGTTACACAAGACAAAACATCGTTATGACATCATTAAGTGGCCAAAATCTGATCAGCTCATTTTCAGACAGGTTTTTATAGAAATGGATCAAAAAGAGAGAGAATCTTTGTTCCTGAAACTTTCAGAGTCTCTTTCCACCAGTGCTTCTCAAAGTGTACTCACGGACCACTGGACCACATTTGAAATTAATTAATTAATTAAAGTTTTCCGTACTCTCGCGGGAATATAAGTGGATTTTGCATAATAGGTGACCTTTAAAAGAATACTCCACTGATTTAGCATTGTTGGAGTGGTGCAAGGATGTCGTATTTCTGTGTTGGACCCTGAAGGCAGCATCTCCCTGGTTCCCTCTACAAAAAGCTAGAGGGTCTTGAACATACCATCTACAGTGATTGTGATGTTATGTTAAAAAAAAGGATGTCATTGAAGAGCCATGACATCAAATGTGTGGTATAGTTATTGTAGATAACTTTGTGCTAGAGGAACATAAGATTTAAGTTGTTTTCCCAGTGGTTTATATGAGATCATGTTTTAAGTTTTCTACTTTTGCAGTATACAGTACATCCTCCTCAAAAAAGCATACTTCTTAATTGATGTCATCAATGTGTGATTGTTTGTGTTAAAAAACAATTAAAGATATATTGAAGGTATACCTTGGATGCAGGTGATCAGCGGCTCCTCCCATTGGCCGCTGGGCAGACAGCTGATCACGGGGTTGAGTTTCTGCAGGAAGCCGTCCTCACAGTAATACCGCAGCCTGGAGTTCGTCTCGAAACGCAAACGCTTCTTCCCGAACACCTTAGCACCGGGAACTCTGGGCGGCTCGCCACAGGACGCTGACAGAGAGAAACATGGGAAGGTGGCTCAGCAGAGAGGGCAGAAGTACACACATCCTTTACTCAAGTAGAAGTACACATCCTTTACTCAAGTAGAAGTTCAGATACTCGTGTTTAAAATACTCTGGTGAAAGTAGAAGTACTGACTAAACTTCTTTACTCAAGTCAAAGTAAAGAGGCTTTGAAATGTACTTCAGTAAAAAGTACCCATAACTAGCAGCTGTTTTAAAGAGTACCTGACCTCCCTTTATATTAATAGAACAATAATGTCATTGTTAGCTAATGAATGTTTCCATGCTGAACAACGGCAACATGACAACGTTTTCATTGGTCCCTCTTCTTTAGAGAAGACCAGGAAATGATGGATACACGGATCGTGTTCAAATCAATAGGCACGCAATGACTCTAAATAATAATGATCACGCCACCAAACACACATTCAGACTAAAGGAACCAGCCTGTTTGGAAAATAAGAGAAGTAGAAAGTACAGGTATTTGTGTTCAACATGTAAGAAGTAGAAAGTACAGGTATTTGTGTTCAACATGTAAGAAGTAGAAAGTACAGGTATTTGAGTTAACATGTAAGAAGTAGAAAGTACAGGTATTTGTGTTAAAATGTAAGAAGTAGGGCCGGGACTCGATTAAAAAAATTAATCTAATTAATT